AGTATCTGAGAGCAGACTATATGAACCATGCAGTGCACTCCGAGCCAGTACCGAGTGAACTGTTGTTGGAACATCTCCTGTGCACCAGGTAAACCATAGCGTCTGGCAAGGTTGAAGGCCACGTCCTGTCGATTGGAGAGCTAAATGAGGAAGAACATCGATTTGTGCACACATCAACTCATCGCTTTATATTGATCAAAGTCACTACGACCGAAACGGCGAGAAAAGTTGGTATATAAAAAGGGCAGAAGCATTCATGTACCACTGCACAGATCCACACCCACCTGGGGCATGTTGTTGATGATGTACTGGACGATGGTGTCCACATTAATAGCAAAGTTAATAACGTGTCCACCTCGGTTAACAAACCGGACTCCACCAGTTTCTAAAATCAACAAGAACAGTGAAGGCATGCAAGAGAGTTTTATGCCTACCGTCACTGTAAGTAGCAATGAATATGCTATCCTGAGATACCTTGTTTCTGAACAACAACGCTCCGCTGCCAATATCAAATACAAAGGCATAACCCCCCTTAGTCAGCACATACACCATACCATGCCTGAAAAGCACGACTTGACCAATCCAACGCCTAATACACAGGCACTCACTTTGGGCTGATATGAAGGGAGACTGCGAAGTCGCTGGGATTCTCAGAGGGCATAGGTACATCCACACCAACCTTGTAGTGGGTCTTACGAGCTAGGTCCATGATGTGAAGCTTGGTCGCATTAGAACCTACCACCAGTGATAAAAAACAATGCAGTAGCCTGGATCAGACTACCTGATTTTCTCTCCATGAAACTGAACAGTCCGATAGCCTCGCCACTGTCATCCACAGGGGCATCAGCAAAATTAGCAGCATGCCCCTCGAGTAGCTGTTGTTGCTTCCTAACGGCAACATCAGGTTGAGTGCGGTCAATGTTTGAAGGTTTATTACCTCTCGACTGAGAACAGCTGGAGAGAGCCCTCGATGGTCCTGCCCCCATCAGGAGTGGAAATACCAGAGAGCACACACCACGTTTGAGAGCTGTTCGTGGCGTAGGCGATGATCTGATACGAAGGGCCATCATGCATCGCGTGGGGTAGACTTCTTTACTCTTACCTGAGTAGTGTTCTCAGCCAACTTGCCGGCTCTATCAAAAACTTTCACAGGGGCCGAGTTGGCGCTATCGAAGGTCCAATGATACACAGATCTGAAACCAAGCGTAAAATGAACTCCTTCAAACTGAAGATCTATACCTATCCCCAACCAGTGCCAGACATCTAGGTGTGATCCATCTCCAGAAAACTACGTGCTCATTTGAAAACTGATGGGACCCGAGTTTCTCCTTCGTTCCCAAGTTGAAAACTTGCAAGAAATGACCCGTATTGCCCTCCACTCGACCTGAAAATAGCAGCCATAAACTACTACAACAAACACGATGATGGTATTACCCTTAAGTGCGATGATATTATCCACGGGATTCATCACGACCGCCTCAGCCTTCATAGGTCTCCTGCTAACCTAACATCACCTACTATAGCGCACCCATTCGCATGCTCTCTTCGACTACCTTATTGTTTTCGTGCATATCAACCGTGATAACCTGCACCGACCCATCAGCTGCCTGTTCCCTCACAGCAACGTATCTGTCATAATTACATATGAACCTTCAAATGTGTGTCAATTCCGACAACGGAGGTCCTTAACGGAAGCGTGCTATCACTAACCATCGGCCATCACTAAGCTATCGAGTTTCCAGTGGGTTGATGATTTTCATGTGGATCTCATGGGTTATAGCGCAGTGCCCACAGCCTACTTGTCCGACTCCATGGTGAGGACTCCAAAGCGGAAGTCCTTCGAGTTGATCCCCAGATCGGACAGGTTCACAACACCTGTGATATTCACGGGAGGTGATGACGACTGCATACTCAGCAGGGAAAAGAAACAAGTAAGGCTGACAGATGGTGATGGTCACTGCTTGAGTGCAGGTGGAGGAGCTGCTGGTACACATTCTACACAAGTGCACGAAATGCAAGAAATGTTCACATCGATTTCGCGACTACTTCTGATCGATAAATTGTTGCTCAGTCTTGCAGCCCACCTTTATTCCTTCACTGTCATTGCGAGGACGGAGGAAGGCGCTGTAACAGTCGGTCGAAGCCTTTGGAGTAGGGCGACGTGATAATTCAATCCATTTATTGCTCGTTATTGAGGACCATCTCAATTGACTATCACTTCGAAAACCCCCGAACGGAAAGTTTTCTCAATAGGGAGACTCGTTGTTCGAGGATTTCAAGGTGAGAACAGATTGGCAAGATCAAACCTATTGGTGCTTTTGTCTGCTAAGTTGTCAGTTCCGCGCCTATGGGGTCAAGCCAGTATCGTACTTTCAAGTACGACTTTGTATTCCTGCACTACTTTGGGAATAACCTGGCTTCCGAGTCTCGGAGGGAAGTTGCTCGGGATTTCAGTGGAGTAGGTTTGGAACTGAGAATCGATTTTGTGCGATTTCTACAGCGGAGATGCAGTTCCCGTAACTCTGTGATTACTTTAGACTGGTGGCGCCTGTCGCAACTGATCTCGGAAGACTTCGGATGATAGCCCCAGTTCGGAGAAGTTCTGTGAGAGAACAAATGTTTAACTATGACCACGATCACATAGGCTCTAGGTAGGTGGAGTGTGGATCTTGAACGATACCTCAACACCTTCTCATCAGCTAACTTCATTGGTGACTTGTTGAACACAATACTATTGTCACGTGAAGACAGGAGTATAGATTCTTATGGCATAACACTAATTCGTCTCAAGACCGTGCTTATAGCATGATGTGCTCAATACACCAGAACGAGGCATTTTCTGGAATGACAAAGTTAGTTGTCAGCTCCCGAGAATAGGGACCAGAGGAATTTATATATGAGCTATACATGGCAGGCTCATTCATGCAGCAGTTGTGGTGTACGTTGCCCTTCTCAATCAGCCTCTTCACGAGAAGGAAGGTGAGTGACCATCGTCGTCGCCGTTGTGACGACGATGCCGGAAGGGCCACAGTGACGATTCCGGCACCATCATCACCGTTTCGCCCGCCGAAGAAGCGGTGGTGATTATCACTGCATAGCGAGCGTCTCCTCACATATTCAACTTGCACCCTGTGGAAGATAGGCACTGGCATACGTCCACCTTCATATCACTGTAAACGAGGAGACAGTGAAAATTATAAACTGGGTCATGGGAATAATGGACGAGTTGCTGCTGAGTTGTGACAAAGACTGTCGTCAGAGGATCTCCACTTGTGGGTGCGATGTGCGCCACGCGCGACTCTATTTTTATATACGCGGACGCAAAATGAGACTTGAAGAAAATCTGTCGGTACGAATAGAGAAACAAAGGTACGAAGAGATGAGAGACCAGGCGTGAGTCTTTTCAGCGAATTAGACTCGGCTAACGAATAGAAAGAAGTCGTTCGGATAGCATTGCCCATCACCAAGCTCGAAGTGATTCATCAAGAAATCGAGCTTGTATATAGTCACAGAGCAGTTACGACAAAGCCACATTCCCAAGATACTTAGGATCTATCGTTATATGAGCTGGACGGATCACGCAAGTGAAGACAACGATGGAGATTGAGAGTACAGTGGAGAGATCCAGCATTCCAACAATACCGTATACATGAACACTCCGCCGATATGGTCTATAGACACCTCATCAGACTCGAAGTTCAATTTTCGAAGAATCCAATAGTTCAAAATCTCAATTCTCGAAGTTCAAAATTGCCACTCTCAGAGTGGTCCAAATTCGCCGTTACTCAATCACCATCCTATTTGCTCGAAAGTCGGGAAAGATAATTACACGAACTGATATCGAACCCTATTTGTGAACCTTCAGACCTCTGACCAACCTCTACTACAACGCAACACAACTACTTGAAATGAAAGCCTTTTTCACCTTACATAGCGACGTTTCTCAAGAGAAGGCTGATCCATTCATTTTAAAGCATTAAACCATTCACAATCAAATCAGAGTGATACCATCAATTCCTACTTGACGTCTTTCGCCACGGTGGAGACACACTTGCCAAGCATAACCACACCGTTACCCTCCATCAGAGCAACACGCGACAAACCCTCACAGTTCTTGAAGGAGTCGACAACAAGAGGCTGAATAGGTTCAAATACGACTTCAGCCATTTCGTTGGACTTGAGGGAATGAGGGTCCTCCATCTTCTTGCCACCAGTCTCCTTGCCAACCTTCCATTTAATGCCAGCCAAACGACAAGCAGACCGTCCAGTACGAACGAAAGCGATAGGAGAATAACCAACCTTAATCTCGCCTGGGACGTCCAAAACTTGGACTTGAGCAGTGAAAGACTGCACATGCTTAAGAGTGGTATCTTTCTTGTAGACCATAACATCTCCAGAACGAGGCATATTCTCTTTCGGCAAACCCTTAACGTTCAGACCAACATTGTCACCCGGAAAAGCCTGCTCCTGACGGGTGTGATGCATCTCGACAGTAAAGACCTTACCAGTACAAGCAGTAGAGGGCGTGTGAGTAGGCATAAACACAACCTCCTCGTTGGGCTTGACGATGCCTTGCTCAACACGGCCGGTAATCACATCTCCAACACCTTTGATCTTGTAGATACCAGAGACGGGCATTCTCATTGGTGCATCAGTCACACGCTTAGGAACGGTAGCGAACTTCTCGAGACCGTCTAGAAGAGTATCGATATGGAACGACTCCTTAGAAGCGGGATCACGAGTGACATCCACACCCTTCCACCAAGGCATTTTCTCGGACTTCTTGATCAGATTGTCGCCCATCCAACCAGAAATAGGAATGACGGGAACACACTTCTCAACGAAGTCTTTCTTCCAACCAACTCTGCCGAGAACATTCTTCATCTCGTCGCGAATCTCAATATAACGAGATTCCTTGTACCCGGCAACATCACAGTCCATCTTGTTCACGCCGACGATTAGTTGCTTGACGCCCAACAAATTAATAAGACGGGCATGTTGACGAGTTTGACCTTGGATCTCACCAGCCTTGTGGTTGCCCTTAGCAATAGCAGTGCCAAAGTTACCATCAGCAGGAACCATGAGAAGAGCAACATCCGCCTGGGATGCACCAGTAATCATATTCTTGATGAAATCTCTATGGCCAGGAGCATCGATAATAGTGTAATGCCACGAATCAGTGAAGAACTCCTTGGTGGTACACGCGATGGTGACACCGCGTTCGCGTTCCTCCTTCTGTCGATCCATGTAGAACGCGAAGGCGAAAGACGATTTACCAAGACGATCAGCCTCTTGCTTGAGCTTCTCGAGTTCTCGTTCAGGAATACCTCCCAGCTCAAAAAGAAGACGACCGGTAGTAGTAGACTTGCCGGAATCGACGTGACCACAGATCACAATCGACATATGAACCTTGCCTTCTTTGCCGGTAGACATTCTCGTATTAACGTGGGATAGAAACTACATGGATGAAGAAAAGCAATTTCGCTACCTAACGAGTCCCAAGTACACCGACAATCCATGACAACATTACTACAGAAATCCAAACTTATTATAAATACATCTATCCGTAACAACTCTTAGATTGATACTATCACTGTGCACTACCCACACGCTAGTCATATGTCTACCTTGCACAACAGCGGCTGAGTGCGAGCAGTACCCACTAACTACGTTTACAGTGCGCTTGAGCAACAACAAGTTTGTTAACCACACACTTTTGAAAGTTTAGAACTACATCCTGCGAAGCGAAGCCCAATCAGGATGCGAATAGCATTTCCAACATGTGACCAATGCCACGTTGCAACGGTGTAATACAATCCGGCAATCGCAACTTTTTGCTAATGTTGCGGGTTTGCCAAATGCTATAATTCCTGACAGTCTCACTTTTTTGCTCTTTTGTATGTGCTGCTTTCTCAGTTACAAAGTAGCAACCACATTTACAACCTAGCAATTTCTGGTATAGGTTTTAGCAACCAAATGTTGAAACTAGCAAATTCGAAAGTGTTTTCCAGCAAGTCGCCCTTTTTTGCTCTTTTTTTGCTGCATTGTATATTACCCCGAAATGTTTTACACGCTGGCACTTTTGCCCAAATGTGCTTCGCCCGCACATTTTCGTTATTCTGACAAGTTGTGCTCATTTGCTGTTTGATATGTTTCGCGTTGTAATAATATAATCTGGCACCTTTTAATGTTTGCCCTTGTGTGATGTTCCTGCATGAAATGTACAAATTGGCAGTTTGATCACTCAATCGTCCAATAGTTGTGTGCTGTGGAATCCGTCTGCCCAATCTGTCCCTCCTAGCTATGGCTAGTAGGAGGTTGTACTGTTGCTGTTGTATTCATCTTATTCCTCCAAATAGTAACGCTCTGGCTACACCTTTTAAACATCTAGTTCGTCTTTGGAACCATCAATTTCGTCGGGACGCGCGAAGTTGGAGGTACGAATCCGAAACGGGAAGATCATATTCGCAATTAGAACTTTCAACTTCGTCATAGAACTTTCAAGTTCGTCCGAAGTCGATAGGAAGTTCAAGTTCGTTCTAATAGAACTTTCAATTTCGACTCTCGAACCTTCGAGTTCGTCATAGAACTTTCAACTTCGTCGAGTACACCTTTGGAACTTCCATTTCGTCCCTTTAGGAAAATCGACTTCGTCGTTCGGAACTTCAATTTCGTGTTACCGGGGCAATTATGCCAGTACTCTTACGATGAGGCTCGTGTTTTGCTGACCGTGCCACTCGTCCGTGGGCATCATGCAGAACCAAGCCTCTGCGACACCCATCCATGCGGCCGCTGCTCCCGCTCACCCCGTCATATCTCCTGACCACGCGCACATGGCTCGAGAACATGGCGAGGAGGCATCGTTCCGCTGTCACAGCTCGCTTCTGCGGGCATGCTATTGGGTTGTTGAGTAAAGCAATCAACCACGAATACATGCCTGCAGTGGTTGACTATGTCGTTTTCTTGA